ATTACAGGAAACGAGGTTACCGATGTTAAATTCTCCGGACGCAACAAGATTGCGATAAGCTTTAAAAATTTATCTATAGCTAATCATGTTCTTGACTACTTTCTACTAGGGAGACCTTGCCGCTGCCATCCTTATTTTTTGAATTATACGTACCAGTGTGGTTAGAAATCCCCATCCCATTGGATATATCCGAGAATGATATCCTCAACAAATTTAATTAACCTTACAAGATCTTGTAGCCGCCAAGCGTCTAAATATTAGGGAATGTAAGAACGGCAAGTTATGTTCCATACCCTCGCGAATCATGGTCAAATTCCGGGGAAAATTCCTCCTATGCTCGATTTCTTTCCTGCATGTTAACTTTCCGGTCCTCTTTTATTTCCCCAGAGAGCTTATCCTGTGCTTTTCCTGTTACGGCCATGCCGCATAAGTGCTGACTGCAAAGGCAGACCTCATTGCGCTCGTTGCGATAAAAATAAGCACCCCACCTCGGAAGATTGCCCTCGACAACAAATGCCTCCTGCTGTAACTGGGGGCGAATATTTCTCCTCCTTTCCTAAGTGTCCTATTTATGTGCGGCAGAAACAGGCTTATGTTGCTTGAAAACATCTTATATTTTGAGGCTCGCTCCTAATTTGGTATGGCCCTTAACTCTCTTCTGCCCTCCCACTCCAACATTCCTAACCTAAATGAATTAACTCCTTTCCCAAAATCCGTTCATGCTCATCCTCTCCGCGCTATATATCCCTATCATTTTCAATCCAAAGGATGCTCTGGACAATATTCCGGAATTTGCCCACACTTACCAAAGTCGCACATATGCCGACTATGTCGTGCGGCGATAGCTTCGCGATCTAGAGTTTACTCTTATCACCTTGATGGAAATGAATCATCCATAGCTTCTTCTACGAATGTCAAAAATCATTGTATTCACAAAAGTACCTCTTTCGGTTATTTTCCCTATAATCACAGAAACGATCTTGGTGAATTGCATAATTCAATACTCTACGCACCTAATGACAGAATGCCTAGTGTCTCTCAAGCTCCCTCCCACTATCCCACTACTTTCTCTCTCCCGATCCCTCCTCAATCCTTCTCTTTCTACACTCTCTCCTGTTTCTTCCGATTCATCTTCCAACCCCACGATATCTTCTTCTTTCGAATATCTAATCAATAGATCTCTCATCGATCATTATATTCTCTCTTCTTCTCCATCTAATAAATAATATTCCGGACTCTCTCAAAAACTTGTCTCAAAAACTCAGCAACGGGCTACACACTATTTTGAACACTTTTCAATCTCTCATCTCAACTAACATTTTTTTAGTAATCTTATAGTACCCTTCTATTTTACCATGGTTGCTTCTGGCTGTTTGCGCCTTTTATATTGGAACTCTCGGTAAGAAGGCTAAAATTGAGACACTGGCTAAATCTTATGACATTATCTTTCTTGCTGAAACATGCATCAAAGGGAATCGTGACTTTCATGTTTGCAATTTCGATTGCGTTCGTGCCGACTCTATTGATGAAAAGAGATATGTTAGTACTAGTCTGCAATCCTATCACTCTTTGGATCTCACTTCCTATCTTGACTCTACGGAGGCTCTCACTATTAGTCTCTTTTAACAATTCTAAAAATTCTCGTTTTAGATGGCGCATGTAGACATTCCAATCTTCCCGCATCGCGCGCTGTCTAATCTTATCTCTTTTGTTGAAAAACGAGACCTACTCTTGGCGACTTCAACGCTCATCACCTCATATGGAGCGCCACCCGCGTCAATGCAGATCCTCGAAGAGGATCTGATAACTGATCAACACTTATTTCTTCTCAATCCTTTGTTCTTTCCGATCTTTATCTCTCATCCTATTAGAATTTTACTACATTTTACTACAATCAACTTAACACTGACTTCTAGCATTGCCTCCCTTTGCGATATTATCGTTCTTTTGGATCTTTTTAATGACCACTATCCCATCGAGATTCAGGTTAATTGTTTGGTTAAAACTGCTAAGATTTTCTCTTACAAGATTGTCCCATCTCAGTGGTCGGAAGCTAAACAATATCTTCATGACAATACTAGCACTATTGTGCAGTCTGTTGACTCCATCGGTCCGGACTTTTACAATACGATACCTTTTGCAATCTTGCAATCTTGTATTTAACAGCTTCAACACGTACTTTCTCTTGCATTCCCTTGCAGACAGGATTGCTCTTGATTCTCTAGTACGTCTTACACTAAGAAAAATCTCTTCCTTCGATCCCTTAGTAGTCGCCAGAATGTACAGATGCAGTCAAAGCTCGCAGTGCGAAGCTCTCTTAGAATCTTTAAAGAGACTCCTTGGGATAATTATGTCTACTATCGCTCAATAGTATGTCAATGCCGTAGCACTCTTCGCAAATTTAAGCATAAGAGCTGGAAAACATACTATGCATCACTTAACTCCCACTGCTGAGATTTGACATATGCTCATGCGCAACCGCAGATTTACTCCACCTAACTCCAATTCTCACAATAGTCTTGAGAGCACCGAGGTTATCCAGAAGGCGATTGATAGACTCTGTCTTTCCTTTTGCTCCCCAACCCTCCTCCCCACCTCTGAGGCCTATATAGGCAATCTTCTGTGAATGGATTCTCCTTTCTCTGATAATGAACTGCAGACTGCACTTCACTCCGTCAGAACAACTTTCAGCCAGGGACTGAATCGTTTCAATTTCTGATTTCTCAAGACGTTGCCTCCCGCTCTTCTGATGTACCTCCTCAGGATCATTAATAATTTCTTTTGTCGCTCTGACTCAATAGTCACACTTTCTTGTGAATTTAATAGTATAATAACGGAATAGTGTAATAACGGGTCTCATTTCATGCATTCTTAATATTAGATAGATGATTCTTAACAGATTTTTATTGGCTTATCGAATCCTCTTTCTCCGATATTCTACTTAATAATTAGTTTGGTTTTCACAGATTCGGATCTTGTCAGAATAACCTTATCACATTCATTGTTAGTATTCTGGCTTTCTCAAGAAGCAGAATCGCCTTGTTCATTGATATCAAATTAGCTTTTGATAATGTCCTACCTCGCAGGAAATTTTCTCTTATGAACATAACCTCTCCCTCACGCTTTCATTTATCTGGAATCTTATATCCTTTCCTATTATTCAGTTCCACTAGGGATCCCTCACCGACAGATTCTCCTTCAAGGATAGAGATCGGTCCTTAGTCGCTCTTTAACGTATTTATGCAATGAGACTCATTCATCCATGGAACTAGTACAATTCATAGATGACGTCATCTTTGTCACTAATAAGTATACAGAGAATGTGCTCTCTCGAACAATTCCTTCATAATCTAAGTACTTTTCTTTGATCTCGCGGGTTAGAAATCCGCATAAGACACAATTGATAGTCTTCTCTAATAAGAAAATTACTTCCTTGTCGTATAGCTTGGGATCACTATATATCTCCCTCCTCCAGTGTTAGATTTCTCGGCGTCTTATTCGATCTCAAATTATCCAGAAAGCTTCATATGCAATATATTACCAAGAGCAAACATTCTTCAAGTCAGCTCGGCTTTGCGCGGCATCTGGTGGGGGGCTCATCTCCATCTGCTGCTTACTATTTATAGATGCTGCGTACTTCTATTGAACTCCTCTCACATTTTTGGATTTTTGGACAACAGTCGCCTTGCTGCACTCCAAGTTATTCAAAATCAGACTTTGCGTCTATGCTTCGGTTATCGCATCTCGACCACCCTTAATATTATTTATCAAGACTATTGAGCCTCAAGTTCAGATTTCGGAATAACATTCTGTTATTTTCTCAAGGTCAGCTCCATAACCAATCACCCGGCAGTCCAAAATCATGATTCACGATTTGGCTCAAAGATCGAACAGGCTTGACTACTTGCGTTCTCGTTTTCCGATCGTCTTCATTTTCCTTCGCATGTGATCCTTCTTTCACTATATTCTCGACTGCTATCCTTCCTAATTATAAATACTCATTCCAATCTACTCTTATTTCTCCTTCATTTCACTCTTTATCTAATATCATCCTGGAAATTCTTGACCAATTCTCTAATCAATGTGCTCAAACAGCATTTATGCAGGCCTTTCATGACCTGATTACTGGGGCCACAATATTTTATATGGATGATTCGAAGATTGATTATAGTATATATGTCGGGGCGGCAGTTTACTCTCCGCAATTCCAAGCTTATGTATAAACTCTCTTCTTACTTCAGTTTTTTCTGTTGAAACTTTCGCCTTCTATAATTATCTTACTGGTAGCCCTCGATCTTCGTTTGAGCCACATTACTATCGTGATGGATTCCAGAAGCGTTCTCGAGGTCTTTGCGGCCGTCGCGACCCTATGAATAATTATCTTATCCCTCTTATCAGGGCGAATTTGGAGGAAGCTAGTAACGCATCTATGCAGGTACAACTTCTCTGGATTCCTTTTGTTTTCCGCGTAGCGGAAACTAGTAGACGATTCCTCTTGTGAATATGGATTCCCCCTGCAAGATATCCTACATCTTATATTGTCCGAATACTAACTCCTTTATCTTCGGTCATCCACCGCGTCTCAGAAGAGAATTGTTATTCTAAATTCTTGCAAGCTATTTCCAATCCTTCGGAAAACATTTGTAGATTAATTTTAAATTTTAGCAGTCTGCAACAGACTCTTTTAAATTTGAACTTTTGCCGCCTTCTCGTGCGCAGGCACACTGTTCTGCCTTTACTCCTCCTCTCCCATCCTATCCAATGGAGTACATTGCTTCGCTTGACACTTTGTTATGAGATTCTCGACGCACTGTATCATCAATGCTACTACATCTTGACCATAACTCGTTCAGATGTTCTATTGGACGCGATCTTGACCTCCTACTATTTTCGGAAGCAAGAGCCAATAATCTAAGAAGAAGATGTTCTCTTTCAGATTTCTCTCTGATTATATGATTCATACCATTATTTTTTCTAATGCATTCTATTCTTTTCTTTAGCAAGTACAAAACAGAGTAGTGTTTCCAAAATATCCTAAAGTATCTCGATTGTGTCGTTCGCTCATTATCCGTATATTAGTACCACAATTTGCACGATTACGCATCAATAGTATAAAAAACGATGCTTGGCTCGAGACATCTGTTGTCGCTCAAACATCAATTAGTGACAGATTTATTGTAAGAATTAATCCATGCAACTTACTATCAATGAGCGAGTTCAAGATGGCAAAGTCGTATGTTTGCCGAGCAAATGAACATAATTGGTTCTTATTTGTGGATCCAATCATGTTTAATTGTTTGGTGAACCTAACTGCTTTGTCGACTTGAACACGCCCTATGTTACTTATAAAGAATTGCTTGATGATATCTTTTATGTATTATAGGATGAATTACCTACAATATCTGCAACTAAAGAATCCAAAGTATTTGATAAATGTGTAGTACCAATTGAACCTACCATTCTTCAAGGGAATGAGAAATCGAATGAGGTTATCCAAGAAACAAAAAACTGACTTAAACGCAAAATCATAAGTTTCATGTAACATTGTTACAAAAATAATATTGTAAAATAAAACTACTGAATAGAGTATTAAATAATTATAAAGTAAAAAAAGATATGCATAAAAAAACAGTAATTTCCAAATTCCCTTCTTATTAATATATTATATGCATATGATAATCAGTTAGCTATTTTACGATGGCACTTTTTATTCTTAATTCTTTTTCAATTCATAAATATTACTATAATATATAAATAATAAAAATTAAAAACAACGCAACATACTTATAGTGAGCAGATGAAGTAATTTTAGTTGTATTATTTTCAATTGTATTAATAAGCAGAGTCTGCTTAAATACAATATGCAGTACACAGTACTGCATACACAAACTTATTAAGTAGATCTATACTTAGCAACCATAAGCAATATTATGGTACTAATTATAAATACACCTGGCGCAGTAACTTTATGTATATCCTCTGTATCATCTGTAATAGAAATATCTACAATTAATATTTATTAGTATATCAATTTCATTGCTAAGATTTATTGTTAACGGTTTACCATTTGTTTCTGAGAGTGACTCCCAACCTAAACTTTTATCAATACCTATTTTCCATTGAGAATATAAAATATCGCGTTCTAAAATTAATATATTAGTCAATTAATCTCTTCATATAATGTCAAAAAATTTTATATTTGTAATAAAGGATGATTATTGTGAGATGATCACCATTCTCAGTTATTAATGGTAAGAAGATATCACCAGAAATAGCAGCATCAATCTTCACGTCCCATTTTCGTATTCCTTCTGCGCTACCCGCAGCAATTGCGACTCCAAGTGCAGTAGTTTCACTCATTAATGGTCTGACTTTCGTATAAAAAACATTGTATTCATTTATATAATCCATTAACTTTTAATTCAATAGTATATATGTATTGGGTTGTCCGGAAAGTTCATACCGACTAACCTATATAATTTAATAAATGTATACTAAAATTTAAATCTTCTGCATTCAATTTTCCTTCAACATTGGCACGAACTTTCCGGACAACCCAATATTTGAAGAAATATTCTTCCTACCCACTGGAATTCCACAAATATCAGCTTGCATTTGCATTAACAAGTTGTTATTCGTCATTGCACCGTCAACTAACAACTTTGTCAACACCAAACCAGTATCCTTCTTCATAGCTTCCAAAATGTCTCTCGTCTGAAAGCATACCGCTTGCAGAGCTGCCTTTACAATATGTGCACTAGTTGTATTTTCGCTAATACCACATATGACACTGAAAACAATTAATTCATATTGATATTTACAAAGTAAAAAAAAAGGATATGCTAGTTCTTATTAATATACTAGATGTAAATGACATCTAATAACTATTTTACAAAATGGTTTTTATTCTTAACTCTTTTTGTTATACTTAGATTTTGTTATACTTAGATATTTATTGCAAAGTAATTCAACGTTTTTATTACATTGATAAAACTAACTACCTTCGTGCATCTTTCCTCCAGTATGGAGCATATAATCCAGAAAATGCTGGTACAAAAACAATATGATTGGACCCTGCAGGCATTTGTTCGACAATAGTTTCACAGTCTTTTATATTAGTTAATATTCCAAGATTATCTTTCAACCATTGTATAACGGCACCAGCGATAGCTACAGAACCTTCAAGAGCATACACCGGAGAAGCTTGCGCTCCTAATTGATAAGCGACTGTCGTCAATAAACCATGGGATGATTCCACAATCTATAACATTCGAAGATACAAAATTGTATTTGAATTTATATCTTATCTGAATTATAACATATTGTGACAATACAATAAAATTTCTCTTACAGCTGTGCCAGTGTTGTAAAGAAGAAAGCAACCAGTGCCATAAGTATTTTTTGCCTGTCCTTGCTGTAGACACATCTGACCTACTAAAGCTGATTGTTGATCACCTAAGCACTGCAACGAATAATTTTATGTATTTGAGTCAAATTTATCTTAACTTACAATTAATATCTCAGTATGAAATTATATAAATTTTTTTACATTTTGATATATTTATATTATATGTCTCGATACTGTTATATTTAATAAAATAGTATGAATTGCATACTCCTGATATAGGAACACCTTGCAGCAACTCGTCTTGTATATAACCATAAATCTCAGAAGAGCTCCGTATTTCAGGTAAAATTTCAGGAAGTATTTTAAAAAATGATAATAGAGTAGGATCCCACTTCAATGTCATAATATTCATTAACATTGTTCTCGAAGCATTCGTCACATCTGTACAATGAACACCACCATTGGCACCACCTGTCAGATTCTAATTATAAAATTATAAAAATATATATTAATCTGAATCAGTACAAAAATTTATCTATATTATGCTTGTTCTGTGCGAACAAACCCAAATTAGCCAGGAATCGATGGTACCAAACATAAGACGTTTGGCAGCTAAGGCTTCTTGAACTCGAGGTACATTTTCTAACAACCATTTCAATTTCAATGCACTAAAATATGGACTAATTGGTAATCCGCAAAGCGGTTTCAAGTAATTTTTATTATTATTGCGTATATCCTTCAATAGATCATCTATAATTGATGTTGTTCTCATATCCATCCATACTGCAATACATTATCAAAATTGATAAATCGTGTAAATTACATTACAAATACAATTTATGAAAAATATAACATTTATAATAACAATTTTACCTATAGCATTGTAAAGTGGTTCTCCTGTTACAGAATCCCATACAATTGTAGTTTCCCTTTGATTTGTTATACCAATTGCAACTATATCAGCTGGATCTATTGTCAACTGCCTTAAGTTAAATACAGTTTGTTTCAGGCATTCCCTAACTGCTTCTAATATTTCTAAAGCATCTTGTTCAACCCATCCCTCTTTTGGGCATATCTGTGATATCGGTACTTGATGATATGTTAATACTTCTGCTGTATCAGCAGCAAAAACCTATATTATTGTAACAGAGAATTATTGTGATAAAGAAAAAACTTATACAGGATATAACTAAAAGATACAATCAAATTTTAAGGAAAAATTTAAAGTTTCCTTAGAGAAAAAAATATGAACATAAATTTAGAAACATTTTTTTGTATTATTTCAGAAACACTATCAAATTATGCCAATATATTTTTTATTAAACGAATTGTATAAAAGAAAAACTACTAACTCATTGAGGATATATTTTCCAAACATTCCAAACAAAAATAACTAACTTGTGCATTTATACAATATAAACAGATTAGAAAGAGTTCTAACAAGGAAATGATTTCTAGACCCATAATCATATGTTTTCATAACTATGTGACTCAAAATTCAGCCATATCGTTTAATTACATCCTGTATACAGTATTTTAAAATGTTATGTTATAATTACTCTAATAATAATCATTAATGATTATTAACGAATATAAGAAACAAATGATAAGAGACACAGCCTTGTTTGTTACATTCTCTTTATAAATATCATCACTCATGTCATTACAAATTATCATAAATAAACTACATATTGCTTTTAATGTGTTTTTCAAGTCAAACTGCGACAATTTATTTTAACATTTATTTTAACATCTAGAAGAGAACTGGGGATCGATTCTGTATTTTGAAACAAAGTGAAAATTACACAGAGTGAGCGAATTTATTAGAATATTAATAATTTCATTGATCAACATCTAATAAATTTGCTCATTTTTATAATTTTCACCTTGTTTGAAATTACAGAATCGATTCCCTGATTTAATCACAGCATCGTATATAAGTATGTTGCATTTTCAAGATTCCCCGACTATAGTAACCGCAATCTCGCGACAATGCGTCAGTTCACGATATGATTATTGACATAATGAGAAACAAAAAATTGATCGAACCAAAAATCTTGCACTACTCGTTCCCTCATCGATTGCACCGACAAGAGGTCCATATCTGCTCAACGAATCATTTTTGTTCATTTGAACGTCTTGAGCGGACGTGGTCACCTTGACCGTGATTATCATGCAACCACATGCAACTTGCGACTTTACTGTTTACACGTGCTCACTGAACGCTTAGTGAGCCATGGTGGAAGGGATAATATGGGGAGCTTTCCAATAAGACACAGGCCTAGTTTCCATCGAGGGTTTAATTCGGATCAGAATGTTATGACTTCTGCACATTGGACGCGGAAACGCTTGCCGCGCGGCAGAATGTGATGCGATAGTCAATAAACTTACAACTCCTAATATATTCATTGGTTATGTCTCATTTCCGCGTCCAATGCAGGAGCCATAAGAATCAACTAAAGTATTTCATCAACTCGAGTATTCCCTTGTATAGTCGGAATTGGTCAATCATTCCGTTCTTTCAAGAATAGCTATGATTGGCCAATTTCATAACTACGAATATTATTAAATCCGATTAAAGCACACTTAACGCTACGAAGCTTCGAAATGTTTCGAAGCATTTTTGATTAGTCAAATTAATAAAATTCTTTCTTCCGATTGGTCAATTAAAAGCAAATTTTGAAGCATATGTAGCGTCTTCTTGTTCTTAGTTAATGGCTTTTGCTTCTATAGAGTGTGCGGAGGCAATACGGCCTGATCACGACGTAGTATTTGTAGCGTCAAGTGAACCACACTCTAAGAGTAAAATCACACGGTGCGAAAAAGAACTACAGAATAGAGAATTGAAACAATCAATTAACGCTATTCGGAATAACGCAGAATAACATTGAATGTCTTCTATGTCGCATTCTTTATTCCGCAGTTTTCGGCATCGTATGATTTCACTCTAAGGGTGAAATCACATAGTGAGGAATAGGACTGCGAAATGGAGAATGCATCATTGAAACTATTCCGCATTTGATGTTGCGGAATAGCGAGTGCGTCATGACCTAGTTTCTACTGAGAATTTAATCCAGATCAGAATGTAAGAACCAACCAACTGTAACAGTTGAGTATTCAATGTTACAGTCAAACAGAGGAATGTTCGACTAGTTGATTGTTCTTACATTCTGATCCGGTTTAAATTCGATGGAAACTAGACTAATATTAAATAGAGATGGAGTAATCACAGAACTTATAATAATGGAAATAGCCTATTCAACCAATGAGTGGAAAGTGTGAGTAAGACTGAGGGTGCAATCCTATGGTGCGGAATTGGCGGAACGCTTGTGATTGGTCGTGGCTTCATTCCGTCGATTCCGTTCCGCTAAAATGTGGTTTCCTATCTCCCATGCTGCGGAATACACAATTAGCGTTGATCAATCACGAGAGCCTTCCCGTAGATCAGTTTCATTAAATCCACGGAATAACGTCATTGGCTTACATTGATTGCGCTTCTACAAGTTCCGCTCCTGGGATATAGGAAACTAAATACCTACGGATTGGAAATCACACATACAGGGATCTCGACCGTGCACAGCGTACACATTCCAATTGAATCATGCAATGTTATACTTTGTACATTCTTGTGTACGTTTGTGTTAAAATATGTTAAGCAATTAAAAAACATCCAGCATCAAATGGTCCGCATCCAGTATCATTTGTTGGAAAGCTCTGGTGTGCTCAGTTTACAAACATCTCTCTCTAAGATCTCCGTCCCGGATGAGAGGAAATTTATAGTGGAACGGAATAGCTCGATCAATCACAATCGCAGAAAAGAAAGCAGAGTAATGACTCCCGCATACAAAACGCGACAACGCTTGCCGCGTGGCGGAAGTTATTAAACCAATAATTCTATGTTCTTAAGTCAGCTTCATCAAAAATTTCTAGAAATGATGTAATATTACTTCCGCCACGCGGCAAAAGTTGGATTAAGTTCAACTTTTGTCGCGCGATGGAAATTATATATCTATTATGGCTCCTGCACACTGGACCTGAAAACGCTTGCCGCATTGCAAAATAAGACGCGGTAATTAATGAACATGTTAGGAGTAATCTTATTGATTACCACACCTTTTTTCCGCGCAGTTAACATTTTCGTGTCCAGTGTGCAGGAGCCATACTTCCGAGCAAGCGAGACGTTGATTGGCTATCGCGCCAACTTCGGCCGCACGGCAAGCCACGTTCTGTGTGCGGAAGCCATAATGACTGTAGAGTTGCAATTGGTCGCGCTGTTCTATTCCGCTATAAATTTCCGTTCTGAAACGACACCCTGAGGGTATATCCACACAAACTTGCATAGCCGCATAAATGTATGCATAAAGAAAATTACCCAATCACATTTTACGTACAACTTTATAAGAGAAATGTAATTGGATAACTTTTTTATGCATATATTTCTGCGGTTGCAAGTTTGTGTGGATATACCATAAAACTCGCGGCACACCATGTTCGTTTCCTGCTAGATTGCTAGCTGGATTAGAATCTTGTCACTGTATTGGGCGCATTTAACAGACTCTACAATTGAATGAGTGCTAGCTATTATTGATGTATTCTTCTAGATATAAAATTCTGATTGGATGACTTAAAAGAATAACAGTGAACACTCACTCAACTGTTGAGTCCGCTGAATGTGTCCATTGACTACGGTGCATCGTTATTAATACGGAGACAAGATTCTAATCCAGTTAGCAATCTAGCAGGAAAACAAGCATCGTGTGCCGCCGGCTTAAATTTTCGCCGTTTCTGTTTCAGTATTGCAGCGGATAAAAAAATAATTTAAATCCCTGCTCCAAAATTCACTAAGGCCCAATTTCACAATTCACGGCTAACTCTTAATCGAAGTTCAACTTGTTTCTTATCTCTTTTCAATTTTAGAATTGGAAAGAGACAACGAAAAAAAACGAACCTTGGTTAAGAATTAATGAATTGAAACTGACCTTAAGACCGGATTCACATCTTGTCAGAAAATGGAAAGCGGAAAAGCGGAAGCCAATCAGAACTTGCGGAAAGATAGAAGCAGACAAGACTTATTACTACTGCGAGTTCCGATTGGTTTCTGCTTTTTCGTCAAGATATGAATTCGGTTTAAAGGTGCAAACTCATGCAATGGAACACAGAATGAGAGCAGAATCAATCACAAACGTTTTGTTACGCGACTTTAAATTCCTTCATCCCCCTGGAATGGAATGAACAGCAAATCCGTATATAATTTTTTAAATATTATTTTATTATTCATTTTTTATCATCATGTAAAATACTAAATTAAATACTATTTTGTATCATCATGTTAAATACTAAATTAAATGTGTGTTTTATTGAAAATATTGATTAAAGATGTTAAAATTTTATGAAATTAGTTTTTGTAATTTTAATCCTAATGAAATAATAACATGTAATTAGTTGCGCAAAGTCTGCAAAGCGCTCATTACATGAGTATTGAGGGTTTACGTTTCAATGTAACAAAAATGACGGAATGTGTGTATTTCGTTCTCAATTACAAAAAGAGATACATCGACATTGTTTTTCTCTCGATGTTTAATATTTCCCTATTCGGAACAAAGATTTCTCTTTCTTTTTGAGTCTCTGATTGTATGAGATATTAGGTTATTTAACTAACCTAATATCACATAGACCAGGCCTGTCTTTTGAGCTCTGAAGCCATGGAGTAAGGAGATTAAACTCGAGGTCTGAAATTGGGCTCGAAACACGGTGTAGAAAAATTTATAGAAAATTCGGCAGATGTGATTTTAGTATTATCACTTAGTGTATGTCTTGCGAGAAAAGTTGAAAGTCACGTGATTACAGGTTACACGTATGTAGTAGTATATATGTAGTGATAGCGTTGATTTCAAAATACAAGTTTCAGATTGGCTGTCGCAACATACTTACAATCGGCTTGCAACTAATGTAGAATCGGCTTTAGATGCACATTTCGGATTACTGATTTTTGCGAGCGACTTCCACTACTGCTCGAATCTCAATAGCTTAGTTTCCACCAAGAGTTTAAACTGGATCAGAATATAAGAACTAACCAACTACAGTCGAGTATTCCTCTGTTACAGTCGAATGACAGGGGAATGCTCGACTGTAGTTGGTTGGTTCTTACATTTTAATCCAGTTTAAACCCTGGATGGAAACTAGGTCAATAATCGAGCCGCCGAATGCCACATAACGCTCTGGCTCAGGAGCGTCTCTATGGCCGATATTCATAGTCGGTTCTTATTTTAAAACCATCTTAAGTACAGTCTTAAGATGTATGAGTGAGTGTGTGTGTGTGAGAGAGAGAGAGAGAGAGAGGGCCGCTTAGCGACTTAAAACCTTATTTAAGATTTTAAAATAAGAACCGATAATGAATATCAGCTTCTGTTTGATTAATTTATGACATCTGAAGACTGTACGTAAGTCTGTCTTAAATAGCGTTTTCTCTTGGGTTACACTGAGTGTATCTCGCACTCTACACCAGTTGCTTGTAAATGCTGCATCAGTGCTACACAAGTGTACATATCATGGTACATGCTGCATGGTGTATGGTGTACACTACTTCATGTTATCGTGTTTAATTCTGCTGCCGGTTGACTTCCATTTTCAAATTTTTAATGTCACACTGGCTCTACACTGTCTCTTTGAAATCGTGTAGCAAAATTCCACTTCGTGCATAAAATTTGTACTACACTATAGCACGGAAACCCGTTACACTGAATGAGTTCGTCTACCACCATCCAAGGAAATATACTACACTGTCTGAGTGTTGCACTGGGTAGGCAGTCAAGAGAAAACGCTATATCCGATTACGAATACCGGTCTATATCTTAAATGTGCTGAGGTCGTATTTTTCATTATTAAAGAATATCTTGCTAAATAATTTTTATTTTCTTGAAAAATCAATATTAAATTTTATTATTAATGTATTAATATGCTCCATATAAGCTGGTATTCATAGTCGGTTTTTATTTCAAGATCATCTTAAGTAATGTTTTAAAACATTAATATGACCCTCTGATTGGTTTGTGACACCTCAAGACTGTACTTAAGAGTGTTTTAAATATGAGATCTAACTATGAATATCGGGTATAAAACATCCGATATACACTGCCAGTATTGAAAATCTATAGTATACATAACATAAACTATAGATTTTCAGTGCTGACAGTGCATATCAGAACACGACCTAGTTTGTGGCGTCGCATGCTCTAACATGCTCCAAAATGCTCCTACTATAGCATTTATTCACTCTAATGCGCTCGTTGAAATGAGTAAAAGTTATAATAGGAGCATGTTGGAGCACGCGACAAACTTCTTTTATTTATATCAGGAGCAAAAAAATGAATATTGTTATGTAGTTAACATCCACTTCTTCAGAGGGAGATAGTGCGCGGCAGCAGTGGGCAGCATTTTGCGGTTACAAATTTTGAACCATTATATTTTTTCTTAGGGCTGTCTCTGGCTTTTACAAACATCATATCAGTCATTACAGTGACAATAATGTTCACGTGATCAAAATTGATGAATATTAAGCGCCAATTTGGATCACATAATCCTTTTATCGCTAAAATGGATGAATGCATCCGTTGTAGCTGTTTTCTGTTACGTGAAAAAAAGATCATTAGTTGTTTTCTATTTATACCGATTCTCAGATAATTTTTCTTCCTTTTATATTCTGACAAGTGAGATTTAATTGAGGTTTTGCCTATAATTTGCACAAGATCGAGATCGTATGCTTTAGTGAGTCTCATAAATTCACTTTAAAAATCAGGTTCGAACCTGTCATGTGATAACTTTATTAAGCAAATTAAGCAAATAACGTCATTAATCTGAGTACGAAATACTCAGCTTACTTCAGACTCAGTTTCGTTTGTGTGCAAATGGAAAGCAACTATTGTCTCAGCAGAAGAAAGTAGATTATTTATTCGTTTCAATACTTTCAATCAAATGGATTGCTCGTCGTTTCGCATGTAACGAACCTAACATGGCAGCGCATCATTATTGCAGATGGCGCGTGAGGCGCTCCGTTTCCGACGCGTAATGTTCCAGATCCTTTCTCGAAGGCCGCCGGATAAGTAAAAACGCGCGGGCAACGAATACGTCGCCATTTTCAAGATTTCTTAGCGTCGCGACGGATACCCGGTCTGATACGATCTTTCATCGTGCGAATGTGAATGTCGTCACCAAACACCGCTCGATTGCTGTTCAACTCTCTCGCTGCCAATTGTTCACATCAGGGAATGAAAATTTCAAGTCAGTGCTGACAACTTTTTGCGTCTTATTATCGTTGTCGCGGCCGATCACCATTTACGATTGCTACGCGTGCCGTTGCCTTCTCAGCTGTGATTACTGTGAATCACGGCGCACGTGCTTACGCTCATGTAGAATCATGTGCGTGATCGGAGGCATTTCTTTCAACGACGTATCATTTTTCGGCGATGTACCCGCGGTTCTCTCGTTGCCACTCTATGAATCTCATCTATGACAGCGTCTTCAACAGCGTTCGACGCGGACATGACAGAAGAAACGGACGGCCGTGTTCCGCGTCGAATGCGTGTCGCAACCTCGTGCTTGTCGACGAGTCACGCGTTCACGCTCGCATCTTCTGGCAATGTGCAAGGCTAGCGTGGCTCTCGTTAAACCTGAAAACTGCTCGATTCTCGCGCAACACGAGATTGTTCGCACGGAGATTCAACGTACTTTTATAGACAATGAAACCGCAGATAGATAGTAAATTGTACACGACATCTTAAACGCGATGCATCGACAAGAACAAACGTCTTAACATTCGGAGCTTCGATGCTTACAGATTCTTTGATGTCATTGATTCGCTTATATACATCTCGCATTAAACGGTTGGCGAATATATCATCATTGTATATTAACCCAGATAACACAATCTAAAATTAAGTTTTTAAGATATCTTTTAGACACCAAAGATGTCTTGTTTTTCAATTTTTGTGGCGGTATATTCATACCCGCAAACGAAAATGGATTGAAATTTTGTTCCGAATGCGTATTTTAAATAGCGAATACTTTTTTTTTAATTTAATTGAATTCAATTGGATGCAATTGGATTGAAAAACTGTATTTCCTATTCAAAATTTTGAATTGAACAATATTCACAATGTGTGTTGTGCATAGAAATTATATTATTTTTAGATTGAAAAGCATAGAGATATGCATGCAATTTCTATAAATGAATAAAAATGCATTCAGGATTGAAAAGCGTTCATTTTAACACTCGTGAATCAATATTTCTGAAAATCTGAATCCATTTCAATTCATTTCAATCCATTCTCGTTTGCTAGTCCGTTCTTATTTCAAAATTGTCTTAAGTAATGTCTTAAGATGTTAATACGATCCTCTGATTGGTTCGTGACTTCTTAAGACAATTTTGAATAAGATCTGACTGAATATCAACCTTGGATACTATTGTCTAGAACAAATGAGTTGGAAAAAAGCCGTGTCACTCGCAGAACTTGTTGCGCAAAAAATAAATTCAAAATTATAAAAGATAATAGCTCTCTGAACTAAATTAATATTAATTAATAAAGAAACATACAGGCCATCGAATGTTCTTAATGCAAAAGTTTATTTAATATCTCATATATACATAGACGTTTCAACTTTAAATTAGCTCATCTTCAGTATAACTATAATAATTTTTAGAACTAGTCATTAGCATATAACAATTTTTAAGATTATGATTAATATGTAAAAAGTTACACGATATCACATAGAATTGAACTTTGTAATAATGTATTAGAATTTAAATGTTAAGTCATTACATGTAAAACTTTGAATTGTTTCTAGAATGATACCCAGTAATTTCTGGCCAATTCCCTTCTCAAAACCTCTCACAAGAATAAATTTTTCTTTAATAACAATCCATTTTTACAGTCTTTTTACATTCAAATCTTGGTGTCATACAGAAGTTTTTAAATTCTGCGTAGAGGGTATTTGATAAAGACAACGCTTAAAGGAAAATTCTTGAGATTTTTTTAAGACGAAAATTTAATATCAAGATGTCTAGAACATAATAATTTTTGAATTATAAGCACTTAAAGTTAGCCAATCATACCGCCCTAAAGTTCGCGCGCTTAGTTGTGCAGTTAGATTTTCTTTTGGTATCGCATCTCACATCTGAACTGATCTGAACACGCGAACTTTAGACGGTATGATTCAAAAATTTTAAGTGTTTATAACTCAACTATTATGCATGCTCTATTGTACAATGGGCAGTAGCAGTAGTGGATTAAGGAATAAGGCGTAAAAATCGATCAATCATAATTGAATGTGAGAAAAATAATCAACTATGATTGATCGATTTCTACTCCTACTCCTTAATCAACTATTATTGCCCATTGTAGACCATGCATTAGAACCTCGATATTGTGGCATTAGAATTTTCATCTCAAAATGTTCTCAGGAATCTACCCTTAAGCATTGTTACAGCATCTTTACCAAACACCTTATAAAAGTTCTCTATGCAATAAAACATAATCAAAGAGATTCACAATCTTGATTGAAATAAGTTCAATATGACAAGGCTTTAAATATATATTTCATTAAGTACTATGCAATAGCAAATATATTTATTACATTTAACTTCTTATTTATTTTTTGTACAAATTCTATTGTGAGTCTTACATGTTTTTTGTT